ACTGTATTAAATACTTCACAGCTGGCGATTAAGGTTTCTTTCGCAGTGAGCCTCAGCTTGCGTACCCCGTTCAGAGCAGTCGTTCACATGGCAAAGACACCTTGTTCGAGGTTAACAACCTGGAAAGGGAAATTCGACTAGAACCCCGCGATACACTCGCATTAGTTCCGTAAATTAAGCAAATCCTGAGAAGATAAGGACCAACTATTTTCTGAATTTCTCTAGCATATATTAAGGCATGTTTTCCTACCACAAGACTGTAAAACAATAAAAAAGACAGCAAAATTCCCCTCTCCGCTGACGGCGGATCAATCGCGAGGAATAAGCGCTTTCAACTTCCGGTGATTCTAACAGCCGATCAGATCCTGTGGCATTGTTTTAAAAGCCAAAAATAATAATAATAATAATAATAATAATAATTTTTAAAAAAATTCATTTCAATAAAAAAAAAACTGTCAGCCTCTAAAATAGTAATAATAAAAAATGATAATAATAATAAAATAATAATAATGTGTGTTTATTGTTCCTTAGATAAAAATACATATCTAATGTTACAATAAAAATGATTAAATGATTAAAAACTTGAGAAGAATACAATAGAGCAAGTAAGTACAACGTACACACAAATAAAACCATAACTCCATACCTAAAAACATCATTATAAAAACTAATCTATTTAAAAAAGTATTCTTAAAACGTTCCATATTTATCCTGGGTCTATAGCAGCCTTTGCGTCTTAGGTCGTATGTTACATTGGTCTTCTCTTGTGAGAAGCAGATCTTCAGGGGGTTGTTATCATACTTTTAACTTTCGTAAAAATTGCATTATCCTGTTTGTGGAGTAGACATCTAATGTTTAACGGCGCAGTCATAAAACGTAACTTATGGTATCGGTCTAAAAATTGCTGGAAAACATTAAGATCCGAGTCGGACAATGTTATAGAAACGGCAATCAATTTCTGTCTGGCTGTAACGCTGTTTTCTGCGTACTCTTAGTAAGTGTAGACATTTGTTGGCCTTGCGAAGTTTAGCTTTTGCATGTACAGAGAACTTACAGTCATTCTGAAAGGTCAAACTTAACAATTCAAGAGTGTCACGTTGTGGTATATTACATGCAACAGGATAGGATGTGGAGTTCCCTTTCTTTTTGATGAAAAGTTCTTTACACTTGTTAGGGTTACACTTTATAGAGTTACAGTTCGCCCAGGTCATAAACTCCTCCCTGACCCACTTGACGTATCTCTGCTCCCTTTCCACGCTGGTGCGACAATAGCAGCGTCATCTGCATACTTGAAAAGGGCGGGAGTGGAACCTTGCCCAATTTCAAGGTTATTCAGAAACACGTTAAATAGATAGGGGCCGCTCACACTACCCTATGTGTTGTCCCCTTATTTACTCCTTTCCACTCGTAAAAGGTTGTTGTGGACTATACGCTTTTGTCTATTATCAAGAAAACTGTGATACCATTTGACTGGCATTCAGTGGCAGCAACTTTAGTTTGTTAGATCATAGTTCGAGCCTCACTGAGTCGAACGCTTTGCTGAAATCCATTGGAAAAATTCGTCTGCCTCACAGCCTGGATTGTCTGGGTCGATTTTAGCCATTTCTACCAGCCGGCGTGACAATAAGGACATCAAGATCCAACGATGCGGACGTCAAAGAAAACGTAAAAAAGCAACAGGTTTTATAAGCACAACAACTTTGCACGTGCATCACCGCTCGTTTGTACATTTCTTTCCCCTTTTCTGCACGACTACGACGTGAAAATGCCTAATTTCGCGTTTTATGGAGTACGTAGTAAAAAAAAGCTTTCTATGGACAAATAGATGAAGGAAATCGATTATTCCACTCTTAATTGCCACTCATGTTGCAACACCGTCGCAAGGAATCTGGATTGATATTGTCACTGAAAATCATGCATTGCGTGCGCAACCCACAGATAAGTCAGTTATCTGCAAGCAGATAACTGTAGGTTGTGCTGATGTCCAAAATTAACTGTAGGCTCAAAACTGGTGAGGAGACAGATAGTGCGTACAGTGTATAATATTACACAGAGGATGACCCCGAAATGACTTTCAAAAAATTGCCAGTTTGCAATTCCCTAAAAACTATCAATACCCATTATGTCACGTTGCGGTTAGATTTTGCAACACTTTGCTTAATCTTTTTTTTCCCTCTTGTTCGGTTGTGGAAAATTCTATCCTGATTAAGATGGCTGTATAATATGAGAGTTCTAATGTGACGTCACAAAAAAGTGAAATTTGTGAAATAAACGGATTTGTCAGGATATTCTAAAAGAACAACTTCCAAGAGATATCTGAGATATTAGCTCAGTTATCATTCTGATGACTCCATACAAATCCTTCAAAATTTGTCTCATCGCCCTGATTATACTTTGTAGTGCGCGCGCGTAAACCAGCGTCATTCTACTACGAGTATCTTTTTTTGTCGTAGTGGCGGAAACAAGTCGTCAAATCTTTTAATTAATAGACGTTTTACAATTCTGCGATCCGGAGAGGCCTTACTGCGTTTTTCACAACCACGCGAACTCTTAAGTTCAAAAGCCGCCTTCACAATAGACCTTTTTACCGATACGGCGGCCATATTGAATTTATTAGATTTAAGGAGTATTATGAGATGCCCAGGGGGCACTCGTTCAGCACTTACGCGCGCTTTTCGGGCAAAAAGAGAAGTCCACTTAAAATTTCTCGGGAAAAAGGCGATCATTATTACATCCAGACACGGCACAACGGTTTTTTTTTCTCCCATTACAATCTTTTTCTAGGAAAATTTAAGAAAAATTAACCCGAAAAGCGCGCGTATATATATACTGAGTAAGTATATCGGATCGCGCTCATGCCCCTGGGTATCCCATAATCCTTAAATCTAATAAATTCAATATGGCCGCCGCATCGGTAAAAAGGTCTAATGGTATTTCTGACAGTGCAGTGTGACGGAAGAGACAGAAATAGCTATTTTGCCGGAAGGGACCAGAGGACTGGGCCGGCTAGGAGGAATTGTGGGTAGCTTTTTGAGATATGTTTAGTTGTACGTTGCAATTTGAATCAGTCTTGGTCAGCATTTACTTGAGCTCCTAACGTTTAGACTGCACCATGGATGAAGCTCGTGTCCATCAGATCATAAAAGCTAACGACGACGATCTTTTAAAGAAAATGTCCGACCTGATTTCCTCTCATGTATCTGCTTCCGTAAAAAGGCCAGCCGATAATTCGGTTGTGAGAAGAAGATCAAAACAGCAGATTCTCGCTCGGTTTTTAAAAAGAAAAGTGACGAAGAGCAGTGCAAATTGGTATCGAAGGTTCTTGATACCCTGGAGGACGCCAAGTACAATCTGGAGAGCGAGAATTTTGAGGCAGCTAAGAGCGCCGTAGATCAAGATATTTCTAGCTTTTTGAGATATGTTTATTTGTACGTTGCAATTTGAATCAGTCTAGGTCAACATTCATTCGAGCTCCTAACTCATATTTTATTTGCCAATTGGTGCTATATATGTTTGTGGCTTTTTGCTAGCTAGTTTTTGCGTACCTCTGCTCCCGAGTTGTCGGCACCGCAGCTGATTTCAGCAGGTGGGGGCGTACGTTCCCTTTTTTCCACAAAGTGGTTTTGGGTTTTCGTATCCGGCGGTGTCGTACTTAGTTTCTTTCGAGTTTTGTTTTTCGTCATAGGGTGTTTTGTATTTTAGTGCGATCTTGTAATCCTATGGATCTATTGCAATAAACTGGCTTTGAGGTCCTTGCTGATCAACGGGCCCCTGTATTTATTCTTGTGTGGGTGTCTTTCTGGGTAGTGTAGTCAAAAATTGCGTTTTTCGCTGCCGTCAATCTTAATTACGATCACAAGCAACGAACATTGAGACACAGAAACACACAAAACGGATCGAAATCCGCCAATCACAAATCACAAACCATGACCTTTTGAACCCGTTGAAGTAAACTTCTGTTTCCTAAGAGGTCCATCAAGATGATTGACGGCAGCGAAAAACGCAAACGTCAGTTGGCTTTTGAACTTTAAAGTTCAAGTGTTTTTGAAAAGGGCAGTAACCTCCTTCAAGAAAAGTAACCTTGTTAACTTTTCCATTGAAAAAAGTTCAATGAAGCCTTTTTTGAGAATACTCGAAAAAACTTAAAGTTTAACCTCGTCCTCGTCTCACCATCGAATCTATGAAAGGTCTCTAACGTTTGTTCCTCAAACCTTAAGCTTCCTACTGTGCAATTCAATACTGACCCAGACGCATGCCACCGTCAAAAGGCTCATCCCCAGAGCCACTCGGCTCAAGACCACGTAACCAAAGGAAACGACGGGCACCGGGGACGAGAATGAATAGCCTTGTGTTGTCTAACTTGAAGTACAGTCAAACCACAATGGAGTTATTTTCATTGTACTTATCAGTAGTATTCTGTTAATCTTTATTTCTAAATAAGGGCATTATTATCTTCACTCACAGGTCAAGTTACGGTCAAATAACGACACAAGGACACAGCAAACTAATCTTTAAAAAAAAAAATAGGCATTTACATAATCTCTTTACAAGATAGTTATGGTAATAATCTACTTTTAAATGTTTATAACACGTTTGTAAACAGCGGAGAGTGACTGATCGGTATTCAGTCAAACCTTCACTAACAGCCACCTCTCCACAACGGCTACTCTTTTGGTGGACAGTCCATACATTGACTCGTGTTTAAACCAAGGGCGGATCTAGGGGGAGGGTGCAGGGGGTGCGCACCCCCCCCCCCCCGGAGATGACCTGCGGTTTTCTAATACAACTGGTATTCTGCGAAAAAAGAAAACTATGTGGTTTATTGGTGTTGAAGTAGAGCAAGAGACGGGTGCACCCCCTCCTAAAAAAAAATCCTGGATCCGCACCTGTAAACCTCTCTACAACGGTCACTTTCTTCTGTCCCCAAGGTGACCGCTGTGGTGAGGTTCAATCTTATTACTTTCTGTAAATTCATGGTTACAGTTTTTTACATTCTTTGATTACTTTTTAACATTCAATTTTGTGAAGTGTTCTGATATCCGATAAACTTGTTCAGAACCATCTGTAGGACCTGTAAAACAAGCTTTGTCATCAAACTGAAGCTTTTCATTCATAACATGCACTCTCTTGGTTAGAGATAGAGTGCCTGACCATGTGTACTTCTCACCTGGGCGGATTAACTTAGCTTCAGCTTGGAAATCTCCAACGTACTTTTGAAGATCTTTAGCTTGCTTTTCTGTAATATTAAACGCCTTAGCGAGTCGTTTCAATGGCGACTCTAAGAATTCGCGTACCACCGTCAGTCGAGAAGGATTTAAACCGGCTTGCACAGTGGCTGCTGCAGTCTCTTTAAATTTGGTCGTGATTGCTGCTCCACCGATTCCACTGAGCGCGCTTCCAAGTCCTATTTCGATCGGGCCGAGTGCTAGAAAAGCCGCAATTCCCCCACTTAGCAGTGCGGCGGTGGTACCAACGGAAACCGCGAGAACCTGCCAGTTGATTCTTTTAGTGATCCAGACGTCGTACTCGGTATCGTTCAGAATAGAACAACTTGATCCCATAATTAAAAGTAGAAGTATAAGCCGCAAGCTGCCCGTTGATCACGACGAAGTCGCTGTCATAGAAATAAAAATTAGACGCAGTCATAAAATGCGTCAATTCCTATTAACCCCTGTGAGGTGAAAATCCTGTAAAAAGCAGTTGGAAAAACACGACGGGGCAAGATCAGGACAGAAATAACTAGAGAAATGGTTGGAGTGAGAAATTCACAGGAGTTTATCTCGCTAAAAATTACACCCAGTCGACCACAGCTAGCAATAATCAAATGCGGCAAATGCCATAAAATTACTTTTGTCGTTGTTTTGTTGTATTTGTTTGTTTTTGTATTAATTCCAATAGTCCAAGATCCTTAATTTTCTAATGAGCAAAGGTGTCCAAGGCATTGGGGCTTACACAAAATCGAAAACCGCTTAAAAAAAATCATAGCCTGAGAAACTGAAAGCCCCCAACTCGCGGCGCCATCACTAATCTACAGCTCTCCCGAATTAAGTTTTTTCACTACTTTCAATGCAAAAATAGAGGTCAGTTTTTTTGGCAATTTAACTCTATTGTAAGGATTGTGCTGTAACGAGTGAACAGGGGATATCCAAAGCGTATTACTATTTTGGGTATATCCAATTTAAGCGTCAAGGGGAAAAAAAGGATATTTTACTAGGAAATTTTTCTCGAACGTAAGTGGATCCATAATAGATTGAATAAATTCAAACTCTGTGCGATGTCTCGGCACAGGTTTCATAGAAAATGTCTATCCTCTTTGTCTAGTCTTGGGCTGCACTCGCCGAAAAAAGACTGAAACCCGCAAACACACACACACCAAAAAAACATAAAAACTGAAAAAAAGTAGTTACCAATGCAAAAAACCGACCAAAAAAGAACAAAAACCGAAAATCCTATCATCATCTGTTTGATTTATTTCGACAGTCTTATACAATGGCGTATTAAAGACCTAAGTTAAATTTCTTGTGTCTGCAGACGGAAAAAAAAAGAACTGCGCGTGTTTTTTTTTTGTTTAAACGAAAAAAAATTTGTTTTCAGATGCTGCAAAACTTTTGCAGTATTTTAATTTGCAAAAGCGACATCCAAACGTTTGGGCTTCCAGGCGAATTCCCCAACAAACTGGTGTCAGAGAGTACATTTGCCTCACGAAAACTGGAAATTCGGCGGTGAAATGAAAACGATTAACTGCGATCTTTACCTTTTACCAAACGAGTGTTATGGACGTTGATATTTACGCGCATTCTGATCAAAATAATACTAGCATTGCAAATAAAGCCTCGGGTTATCTGCTTTCCTTTTTCCTTTTGACAGCAAGAAACAAATATACATGTGTAAACGGAAAGCACAGAAAAGATGAATATTCCTTTTTGGACAAGATTTCCTTGAACCTGCCTCTTTAGGTGCTGAAGAACAACCGTACCTTGCATGAATTTTGTGGCTGAAGAATTATCGTGTCAATGCCGACGAATTAGACTTTGCAGCTCTCCGAGAGAAAAAGGATAATCTATGTAAAATGAGATTTCTGTTATAAATACCTCAATTTTTGAGACCACCTTCTTTCAGAGCGAAATCGAAGCTGTGTTGCGAGGAAACCTTCAGAAAGAGAAACTTTTGAACGTCACATTCAAGGCTATTCCCATCATAAAGGTGATTGCGGTTGGACTTACTATTTGTTTGGATTATTACGTGACAGGAACCGATTTCTCGGCTCCTGTCTCGTGATAAAGCCCGCTATTCACACCACAAAAACATGCTCTAGCCAAAGCTAAAACTGATTCTGATTGGTCCAACAGAATCTATGTGCTCATATATAAAAGTCGAAGTCTATGTCTCATCAGAGCATTCTGACCAAACGTTTGCACTCAAGCTAGATCAAATTCTATCGGTCTACCCCCAGGTGACGCATCCCAGGCCCAGTAACAGTATTACAATGTTTAAATTAAATATACAGAATTGATCGAGCCATAATTCAGTTAAATGGCTGCAATACCACTCTCTACCTTATGAAGAGCTTCCAGGAGTAAAACATGATGAAACTTCAGTTTAAAAAGCCGTAATTTAGAGAGTTCCTCCAAATGTAGTAGGCGACAGAAGAGAATATAATGGTGTAATCTTTTGTTTTCCTGATACGAAATATATAGAGGATATTACACGGTGGCGAGAAGATATGAATTTTATGTTCGAGTGGCAAGAACAATATCTCACGAGTGAGCGAAGCGAACGAGTGAGATATTGTTCTTGCCACGAGAACATAAAATTCATATCTTCGAGCTAACGTGTAATGTTCTTTTTATTATATGGAGAAATCAATTCAACAAAAGCAAAAGGCGGGAATCGTGACGTCATTGAACGATACGACACTCACAAAGGTGACATACGGAAAATACGCCACTCGGGTCCCGGATGAAGTGGTGTATGGAATCTACGAGTGGTTTAGTTCCCAGTAAAACACTCTCCTCCATATAATAAATAAAGCTATGTACACAATATAGCTGGTAGTTTTTCGTGCCACCCTGAAAGCTATCTGCTATAGTGTGAACCCTTTCCGATATGTGATTCCACACTTTGGAAATCAGCTTGATCCAGCTTCGCTACGTTACAGAATAATATCACGTAGAAATCACCGATGTTATGTCTGAACAGAAGTCCTTCTCGGTATGGTTTTCGTGCCGGTGCAAAAGCTATCTGATATACTGTGAGCATAGCCTAAATGTCATTAGTAAAATCCAACTAATGGTCTATTATCAATGCTGCGTTCTGATTGGTTGAGCTACTACTAGGCTATATGTTATAGCCCACTAGTAGCAAAAAGCGCAATCTTTTTGGCGGCAAAAAAGGATTAAAGTCTAGCTTTAACTAGCTAAAAATTTTTCATTCTCGATATTTTTGACCGACTAGCTGGATTTTACTAAAACAATTATTCCTCTCGCCCTCATGGCCTCTAAGTCAATAGCCGATTCGGCCTTCGACCTCATGAGCTATTGACTCAGAGCCCATTCGGGCTCGAGGAATAATTGTTAAATAGATTGTGGACTCAAGGCTGGTGCTACTACAACTGTTGGAATATGGGTGACCGATGAATTTATTTCCTACTCATTTTAAACCAATATTAAAACCCTTTCAAGGTAACTAACATACAATCATTTGAATTATTTTCAGTCCCAAGTAATGGCTTTATTGAAAAAAATTGGCCATTTGTACGAGAGCGTCATTTTACTACCACCAAAATCCTTCGGGGTATTGCTTTCTTGTGCAAATTGGGGCTTGTGCATTTTAAACCTCACTCGGGTTACCAAATTTGAATATGAAAGAAGAGGCGAAATTAGTCTGAGACGTCTTCGGGCAAATGACCTATTGCTTTTAATGAACTCTTTAGGTGAAAAACCTAAGAGAGAGAGAGAGAGTAATAAATAGAGATAATAGGGCTTATTTGAGAGAGGGGGCTTATTTAATTTAGAAAAGACTATGGTATCAGTTCTCCATACAGAACTAGAATACAAAGTGGAAAAGCTTAAGTACAAGGAGGTTGGAGGTTATGCAGCCAAGGATCAGAATCAAATCCAAACTTCTAGCCGGTAAATAAACCATCCCAGATCAGTCCACACGAAGTTTCACAGTCGTGATTGATTAATACAGTCTATCATTTACTAGTAAAGAACAATTAGAGGAGGGGAGGGGGGCTTAATAGAGATAGAGAGGGTGGGAAGGAGGGGGGTGTATTTGAGAGGGGGGAGGATTTAGGATATTTATCAGTCTTACTTTGTATTTGCCCCTTCATTTTCGAAACAGATCTTAACAAAACAAAACAGAGCATCTACGGAAATTTCTTACCCGTTTTTAGCACGGGTTCACGATACTTTTCGGTGGCGGTCAATTTACAAATTACCATTGCTAAGGTCACTCCTGTCTAAAGGGAAGGCCTGAATGAAAAATCGATTTTTATGTTCCCCTTAAGGTTAAACTTCCAGAAGGGGGGGTGGAACTCCACATATGAAGGGGGGGAAGCTCGTCGGAAATTTTGAAGTAAACCTCTAAACGATATCGATCTGGGCGTGGTCTAAGCTTTTTTTGACCCCTAAAAGAGACCATGTTAAAACACAGAAAAAATATACATTTTTATATTTTTTCGTGTGCAACCGTAAACGAGACCTTCACGGCTAAATATAATGGCGTTTCGCCCAGGACACCCTAAGTGAGACCAAATCGGAAAATAACACCCCTAAGCGAGACGACGGCCAGCATCCCCACCCTTCTCATATGCCGAGTCCGCCCCCCCTCTCGGGTAAAGTTTCATGTTATCTTAACACAATCAGGCTAACGAACCGTTACCTGTAAATCAACCCTTACATTAGTGTTAAGTTTGGTCGCAATAACTGGTGTCATAACTAATAGTAACCTTTGCTGTAAGGTACTGTTTGATTTCCCTGGACGTGGCAGACCTAGGGCAGTAAATAACTTGCTGAAGATTTTTCCCAGCAAAAGATGAAAATTCTCCCGTCTAAACAACCAAGGCGGTATTTGTTGTGCATTGCATACACTGTTGTTTTCAAAAAGGCGAACTCAGTCTAGCAAAGTTACGATAACCTGACCCAACTGACTTCTTCTCGTTGGAGGGGAAGGCATCCATCACAAGGCACCCCAGTATCTTCCTCAAAGCTGCAACTCAAGGTTAAGCCGCTGGAACACAAGCATGTTTATAGAAAATGGCCTCTCTGTTGACACCACTTTAAAACCATGCTTCTTATAGAGTTGTACCGCAGGTGTCTGCACACTTGATACAAACAACACGACCTTTTTTAGCCTCTCTCTTTTAGCATATCTGATTAATTCACCGAGCAGATTATTACTGATTCCCATTCCTCTACAGCTTGGTAAAACGAACATGTGCTTGAGTTCAGCAATACATGGGTCAATATGACAGAGTCTCACCATTCCAACAAATTTACTGTTCCACTCAGCCACCCAAGTATGACAGCTGACACCTTCCCTTATTTCTGCCTTTAACACTGAATTTTGCCAGCGCTTAAAGATAGATCGCCATTTGAAATAAGGATACACAACAACAACAGCAAACACAATAATATAAAGTACAAAGATCCACAATGACCACAATGTGGCTGCAGCAGCCGAAAAGATAGTTGTTATGACAACATACCATGACAACTTTGACAGATAACCGAATGTTATATGGCTCAGAATCTCATCACTACTTCTTCTAATCATCTTCTGGCATTCCAATTGATCAGAACTGAGAGGCGCACGAATGATTACAGATGAGTTGCAAGGCTGCTGATCATCTGAGTTATTCATGATAACCTAAAAAGAAAACGACATGACTGAGCCTTGACGTCATGAAGTAATTATACACTAATGCACATAGAAATTATTATTATTATTATTATGCTGGGCAGTAAAAACGGAAGGTATAAAGGTTTTTGTTTGTATTTTGACCATATTCCTAGCCACCAACAATTTTAGATACAACATCCACGATCCAACACCCAAGAGAGGGGGTTTTGCTGGGTATCAACTGATATAGGATTTAGAAGCATTGTGGTTGAGATGGTTGATATATGTGTAACTACCGACCGTCGTCAGTTTATTTTATTCTATTTGTTTTATTTTTCCCTTTTTTTTTTTTTTGTTGTTTTGTTTTTATTTGCATATCTGCGTTTTGGTTCGCACTTCCGGTCACATGATAGTCATGTGACCGGAGAGCACATGGTAGAGCTAGGCGCCATTTTTTGTTGTTGTTTTTCTGCAAGAGCAAACAGTTCTTCAACGTACAAGTACAAGGACACGTACACGTACACTGTATATTTAAAGTGACATTTTTGGTGCAAGTACAGGAAGCAGTATTCAGGGAATAAAATGCTTTAATCAGGGTTCAATTTGTGGAACTCACAATATGTTCACTGAAAGGTGACATTTTACCACAGAGGTGTGTTAAAAATACTGTTAAGTGAGAATACTCCTTTTTTATAGGGGACACCGAGTTTTGAAGGAGAAATTCTTAACTTCAAACATTTATTTGAATGTAGTCAACACCGTGTCCACAACAGTCAACAAAGTGGAATCCCGTGATTTCTTCCACAACAGTACAGTAAAAGAGAAATGAATTTACTGGTACTAAAAAGTAAGCATTATAAGCACATATTTACTGAGCTAAAGTAAAACAGCAACTCTAAAAGTGTCGAATAAATAAGAGACCCCAGCCAGCTTCAACAGAACTGAGGACCCCCCATAGAAGAAGCCCTGAGTGAATTAATTGTCCTTACACCTGCTGAGTCACACTATTCTGTGGATGAAGGTGACTACTTTTACAGGCAAAGGCGGTCACCAGGCAGCCCAGCTTTGGATACCTATTGCCTTTTTGGGCATCACAGTACCATTATTTTGTGTAGTATAAAGTTACGTTCACAATGATAAACTTGACGAGAACAGACACTTCATTCACATGGAACTGTTCAATATTTTCACACATGTTCATAAGGAACTGATGAGCCAGGTTGAATTTTAACCTTTGTCGGTGGTTTTAACAATTGTCCATTGAGCAAAGGCCTGCTTAAGCAAGTTCATTTAACCCATTCACTCCTGGGAATTTTGCCAAAAACCATGTTTTGAAGCTAGTCAAGGGATTTTCTGGTCTCAGTCTGGCTATAAAGGAGTAAAACTTATCATTATTCATTCAAAATATTCCCCCAATTTTGAATGGCTAAAAGCACACACATAATTCACCATAACCAGCTACTGATGACCAGATTTGGAAGAATTTTGCGATTAATCAACCGATGACGTCAAAAGTGCAGCTTCCTTGCAGGTAAATGCACTGTTAACCTAGAAGACTTGAGGATGAGGTTGAGTTGTTTTAGTTGTGAAAACAAAACTGGCCGACATTTCACTTGTTTCAAGAGTAACAACTAGGTGAAATAATTGCTAAAAACATGGCAAGAACAGCAAGAAGAGAACTCAAAGGGCGACATCTGCTATTTGGAGAATATTTGCGGGGCTGACCAACCTTAAACGCGTGCGCTATCGAAGATGAACTTAACATCGATGGAGGTAAGCATGTTAGCTATGTTTTTAAACTAGGAATTATTTTGAATGAATAATAAAATTGAAGAATAAAATAAAATTATTATTGAATTCAGCTTTCATATCATATGAAGAATTATGGAGTCCTCGGAGGGTGTTATCCGCCTCAGGAAAACACCCTCCTCAATCTTCATAAGATACTCATAATCTTCATAAGATACATAATTCTTCATAAGATACTCACCCTCATTCATTAATTATTAAATACCAAAATGCCTGTTAAGAGGTTGAACACTTTGCAGCCTTCATATCAGATGCAAAATATTAGCTTCTGTCAAGTTTGGGCATGCCCAGAAGGCAAATTCCAATTTCAAGATCTTTCCACTTTGGCTCCTCTCCTCTTCTTTTGGCTTTTCTTGCCTCATTTGTTTTCTTCAGCTGGACATTTAGTAGTCGTTAATTCGGTGGAAAAAATTTTTGGGAAAACTTTCAGGATATTAAAATTACATGAAAGGAAAGGTAGCTGGGTACTGCAACAAATTCTCATGGGAATTTTTGACCCAATGTTACATGTTTTTTTGCCTTTTTCTCTGGCCTCATTGACTGAATTGTGCTCATCATTCTAGTATGGTTTGAAAGATCTCCTCATCCTGCATCAGTTACATGTAACTGACAAACTTGTCTTTGACTGTTAAAAATGATAACGTCACAAGTGGTACAAGGGACATGGATCAGCATGGGCGGTTCAGGGACATTATACTCTGGGTTAAGCAGATCCAAAATGGCATCTCTGAGCTGAGTTACCACACATCCATACTACCACGCCTTTACTGTACAAAAATTTAGATGGTTATGGCGTTCACAGCCCGCCTGTCAAATTTTCAACCGTACCGGCTACATATTTGACCTCTGAATTTTTAGCATTTAAATCTTTGAACAACTAGGCATCTAAATTTTTCCACGTGAATGTAGCCAATTTAGTGTAGCCTAAGTTTATATAGGGACCTCATCCCACAGTAAAAATAAATGAAATTTAAATATTCATCACTTTATAAAATTTGGATTGAAAATTCCCCTGAACAGGAATTACGGTGGCAAATGAAGGAGAATGTCTTGCCCATTCACTGCCTTATCTCGGTTAATCTGTCATGTACTAGGTGGGAAGACCAGAAATTCTTGTTTTGTTATTGTTGTTTCCTCTATATGTGATTACATACATAAGCTATACATAGAACTAAAGGGCAAAAGTAAAGAGACAAGACCTTAGACCTAGTATTAAAGAATAATCTAAAAAAACGGTTTCAAGCTGGTAAAGATCAATATTATTTTCATAAACACTATAAATTCAACTCGGAAAGGTCCTTCTGTATGCACAGGCCCAGGGGACGTAAAAAAGAGAAACAAAGGACTTCAATATATAACGAGACTGTCTCACTGGGAGTCGGTTCCTCAGTAGTCTCAAGTCCGGGGAATTTTTCCTGGGGAGTAAAGAATCCGCAGCGATAGTTCGTCAACCTCGGCCCCAGGAAGGCCCCAGGGGCTTATTTTTGGCTCGGATCACGTGACCCGAAACGCATCGGCCGCTCGCAACAATGGGACAAGGCAAGGCGAGTTTTCAGAATACTTTCGTCGCGCCTTTTCTCCCGTCCCGAGTGACTGCCCCTCGGTCTCCGAGGATGTTTTGGTTCATGTGCTAACAAATCAGGCAATCACACCGTCCGCATCGATATTTAGCCTACGATTTCCCTGCTAGCAGAGGTCTCTTCAATCTCGTTCCCAGAGGCCGCGATCCTTTTGGTCAGCGACGTGGATCGATTTTTCCAGCGCATGACAAAAGGGACCCCTGGGGACGAAGTTGAGGTCTCTTTTCCCTGGTATTGAGCCTGCGCAGCTGGCAGTTTTTTTTGTGTGTTTTCCTGCCCAGAGACACCAGCGGGCGAGGCTGTATCTCACAAACGAAAAAAAAAACAGAGATTAAAAAACCACCAGCTACGAAGGCAGGCGACAATCGTAATGGCGAGAAAAGTTATTAGTGTAAGAAACTTTATCATTTTGCGACCGGGAAAGACCTTAACCTCATTCCTTGAAAATAACCGTTCATAAAAGTTCATTGGAGCCGTCCGGGATGAATATTTTGTGGGAGTACGAGAGAAAAAACTTTACGTTTAATATCGTCCTCGAATCCAAAGGTCTCTAATGTTTGTTCCCTAAAACCGTCCCATGGTGCAATTCGACGAAACACCGACCCAGGGTTACTTGCCTACCCTCAAAGGCCAGAGCCACACGCCTCAATTCATAGGCCACGTGACAAAGAGAAACGACGGGCTCTGGGGACGAGAATAGCCTTGCGCTAGTCCTTGTGCTATCTGTCCTATCTAACTTGAAATGCAGTCAAACCAAAATAGAGCTATTTTTATTGCCCTCGCTCGTGACCTGTACTTTGCTGTTAATCTTTATTTCTAACTAAGGGCATATCTTCACTTACAGGTCAAGTTACGGTCAAATAATGACACAGCAAACTAACCTTTAAGAAAATACACAAACTCTTTACATCAACAACAAAAAACAATAAATAATTTTTAGAGGAACTTTAAACAGTGTACACAGTGACTGATTGGTACATTACTTGTTCCATGTAAGGGAATCCAGATTCCGGAATCCGAAATCCGGAATCCGGCAAATATTTACTTGAGGAATCCGGAATCCAAGAAAATTTTGCAGGTAGAATTCAGAATCCTGGACTTTGGAATCCGGAATTCCAATGAAGATTAGAATCCAATTTCCACAAACAAAGACTGGAGCCTAGTTCCTGGAATCCGGAATCTAAGGCGTGGAATCCAGAATCCAATACTGTCTTGGATTCCTTTTCATGGCGCGATATTACAAATGCACGGTTACAGTTTCTACATTCTCTGATTACTTTTTAACATCCAATTTTGTAAAGTGTTCTGATATTCGATAAACTTTTTCAGAACCATCTGTAGGACCTGTAAAACAGGCTTTGTCATCAAACTGAAGCTTTTCATTCATAACATGCACTCTCTTAGTTAGAGATAGAGTGCCTGACCATGTGTACTTCTCACCCGGGCGGATTAACTTAGCCTCAGCTTGGAATTCTCGAACGTACTTTTGAAGATCTTTAGCTTGCTTTTCTGTAATATTAAACGCCTTAGCGAGACGTTTCAATGGCGACTCTAAGAATTCGTGTACCACCGTCAGTCGAGAAGGATTTAAACCGGATTGCACAGCGGCTGCTGCAGTCTCTTTAAATTTGGTCGTGATTACTGCTCCACCCATTCCACTGAGCGCGCTTCCAAGTCCTATTTCGATCGGGCCGAGTGCTAGAAAAGCCGCAATTCCCCCACTTAGCAGTGCGGCGGTGGCACCAACGGAAACCGCGAGAACCTGCCAGTTGATTCTTTCAGTGATCCAGACGTCGTACTCGGTATCGTTCAGAATAGAACAACTTGATCCCATAATTAAAAGTACAGGTATAAGCCGCAAGCTGCCCGTTGATCACGACGAAGTCGCTGTCAAAGAAAAAAAATTTAGACGCAGTTATAAAAAGGCTTCAATTCCTATTACTCCCCCTGTGAGGTGAAAATCCTGCAAAAAGCAGTTGGGAAAACACGAAGGGACAAGATCAGGACCGAAGTAACCAGGGAAAAGGTTGGAGTAAGAAATTCGCGGGAGATTATCACGCTAAAAAGTACGCCCAGTCAACCACAGCTAGCAATAATCAAATCCAAATGCCATAAAATAACTTTTGTCGTTGTATTCCAAAAGTCCAAGATCCTTTCTAATAAGAAAAGGTGTCCAAGGCGTTGGGGTTTACAGAAAACCGAAAACTGCTAAAAAAAATCATAGCCTGAGAAAAAAGCCCCCAACTCGCGGCTCCACCACTAATCTACAGCCAGCTCCCGGAATAAGTAATTTACTTTCGATGCGAAAAAAGAGGTCAGTTTTCTGGCAGTTTAACTCATTTGTAAGGATTGTGCTGTAACGAGTGAACAGGGCATATCCAAATTAAGTGTATTATTATTATTATTATTATTATTATTATCATTATTATTATTATTGTTATTATTATTATCATTATTATTATTATTTTGGGTATATCCAAATTAAGCGTCAAGGGGAAAAAAAAGGGTATTTTACTAAGACACTTTTCTCAAACGTAAGTGGATCCATAGTAGATTGAATAATCAAAATCTGTGCGATGTTACGGCACCGCTGGTTTCATAGAAAATGTCTATCCTCTTTGTCTAGTCTTGGGCTGCACTCACCGAAAAAAGGCTGAAACGAAAATCAACCCGCAAACACACACTCACAAAAAAAAACATAAAAACTGAAAAAAAAAATTAGTTACCAATTCAAAAAACCGACCAAAAAAGAACAAAAACCGAAAATCCTATCATCACCCCTTTGAACTATTTCGGCAGTCTTATACAATGGCGTATTAAAGACCAAAGTTAAATTTCTTATGTCTGTGGAAGGAAAAAAAGAACTCCGCGTCTTTTTTTGTTTAAACGAAACAAAATTTGCTTTCAGAGGTTGCAAAACTTTTGTAGTATTTTAATTTGCAAAGGCGGCATCCAAACGTTTGGGCAACCAGGCGAATTCCCCCAAAAAACTGGTCTCAGAGAGTACATTTGCCTCTCGAAAACTGGAAATTCGGCGGTGAAATGAAAACTATTAACTGCGATCTTTACCTTTACCAAAACAGAGTGTTATAAGGAAGTTGATATTTACGCGCATTCTGATCAAAATAATACTAGCGAAATTTGTAAATAAAGCCTCGGGTTATCTGCTTTGACAGCAAGAAACAAATGTATAAGCGGAAAGCACAGAAAAGATGAATATTCCTTTTTGGAAAAGATTTCCTTGAACCCTTCTCTACAGGCGCGGAAGAACAACCATGCAAGAATTCTGTGGCTGAAGAATAATTAATAGTGCCAATGCCAACGAATCAGACTTTGCAGCTCTCCGAGAGAAAAAGGAAGATGATATCTGTATAATATGAGATTTCTATCGGTAATTGCATGATTTGTAGCGATATTTGGCATGAATACCACGAGCGATATTTCGGGAATTGTTATACGACCCGTTAGGCGAGTGAAATTTGAGACAATTTTGAAATATCACATGTGGTATTTATGCCAAAATATATCACGTACAAATCATGCTATTATTTGTTTATACTACTACCCGCAAAAGGTTTGTAATTTTCACATGTAGGTATTTCAAATTAAGCTGAAATACCACCGCTCTAACCCAATCAAATTGCAGAAATTTCTCATGTAGTAGAATAAATACCAAAATAATACAACTTACCTCAGAAAATACCTCAATTATTGAGACCACCTCCTTTCAGAGCAAAATCGAAGCTGTGTTGCGAGGAAAGCTTCAGAAACAGAAACTTTTGAACGTCACATTCAAGGCTATTCCCATCAATTATAAAACTGATTGGTTTGACTTACTCTTTGTTTGGATTATCACGTGACAGGAACCTAGTAATCGGTTCCTGTCACGTGAAAAAGCCGTGCCATCCACACCAAAAAACATGCACTAGCCAAAGTTAAAACTGATTCTGATTGGTCCAACGGAATCCGTGTGCTCATATATTAAAGTCGCAGTCTATGTCACACCAGAGTATTCTGGCGAAAAGTTTGCACTCAAGCTAGGTCAAATTCTGTCGGTCCACCCCCAGGTTACCCACCCAGGCCCAGTAACAGTGTTACAATACTTAAATTTATAGTGTTTGAATGGGGTTTTGTTTGTGTACGCATCCGAAAATTTATAAGAAATGCTGAATTACAAAAACAACATGAAAATTGCCTTTAAATTCCCGGACGGAGTTTCAGGAAATCTGCAAGTTAAATTTTCCCTCGTCAGGAGCCACTTATCGGCTCCTGCTCTCAGGCCCCTTTTTCTCTTGGAATTTTTTAGAATTGATCGAACGAAAACTAATCCATGATTCATACTTGGTAAACCTCTCATGACTACCTGAGTACTTTAGTGTTTCCTTTACCGTTGTCTTCTTTATGTGTAATTGAAAGCAGGAAAACTAAAAAAATTTGTCCCCCGAATACTCACCCCTCTCCCTTTTTAATATTAATCCCTGCCCTACCCCTGTCCCCTCCACTCGTTCTCGTACCACTGCTTAAAGCTTCAGGGCGGCAGGCTAAAGTCCTGACTCCTTGCTAAGCACAGTTGAGCCTGTATGACCTGCTAGTTTGCTAGTATAGGTTAGTCGGAATTTTGGGGGTCCGAGAGATAGAAAAGTGTAGTAGTAAAGGAGAGAGAGAGCCGAGTAGGATACGAAAGGACCTGGTTCAACCTTGGGTTACGTTTTTTTTTCCTTTTTCATAGAAACACACTCAATAACAGGTCAAAACTTTTCCAAGTGTCTTAAAAATAGCAGCGACAGTTTACGAAAGGGAAATTTGCGGCGGCAAAACAGCGAGACAAGAATTGAAAGTAGGTAAGACACGTAAAGTATATTTTTAGTAAATTACATGGCTTTGTTGAACTGTTGGATTACCAAACTGAAAAATCGTACATAAATTCGGGCATTCTGATTCTAATTGGCTTGAATGTGAAATGTAACAAAAGTGCAATGCTCATTTTGACGCCTTTCAAAATATTAAAAGTCTTTATATCAAGAGCCTGGATGGAACTTATACAAGAATGCAGCGAATGGTGAAAAGTATATCGTGGAAGGACAAGTTAAGGTTGAAAAGAACGAGGTTTATGGTAGTTTATAAAAGGTGACCTCTACCATTTAAAATAAAAGAACTGCTCTTTCTGGAAATGTTTTTCGTGATGAGAGCTCTCCAGCGTAACAGCTGAAAACATGGTTGCCTACAAATTGGAGGGAAAAAGAGGATGTCCTTCCTCTACACTAGTATTAACACACTACTGTGGGATACAGGCTGGAGAACGCGCACGTTAGGTCCGGTTCAGACGCCGCACTTTTCATGAACCGAACCTAATTCGAATTAAGGCCGACCCAAACTATTTAAACCGCCTGAATTGATTAAGACGCCGATCTTAGTTCCAGCTGAACTAAATTCAAAAGGAGAAAAATTCTCATTTTGGTCAAACTGCTTGCAAAATACGTTATTAGAATTTATGCATTAGGTTCGGTACATGAAAAGTTCGGCATCTGAATCAAAGCCGTTATAAAGTAGTTCCAGCTGAGCTAGGCGTGAAGAACATCTGGGCCGTTCTACATCGAAATAGGCGTTCCTAATTGATCCAGACGTCGAACTTTTCATGTACTTAATTTAATGTATTAGGTTCGGCTCATGAACCGGGCCTTAGAGATCTTGAAAGTTGTATCAGAGATCGAACCTAATGGGGTCAGTTTTCTTCCCGTCGTCTTTAGGCGTCGACCGAAAGTAAGTAATAAGTAAGTATATCAGGACATCATGCCCTGAGGAACTCTGGTTAGTACAAACTTGGAAAGGGGAGTACAGCGGAACGTGCTGCCCGCTGCTTTGCCAAGGCACGTGTTGGATGGGTGTTGTTCCGAGTTGCACTATGGGAATTTTGGGAGTACATCATCGCAATTGTTGCGATGTTGTGGGGGAAACTGGGACGGTTGGCATTAGATCCCATTGGCTTGAAACCCCTTGGACACCTTACGAAGTTTACACGACGAAGTATTCCTTATCGCCTGCACACTATATAAGCGATAAGGTAATTCGTTGTGTAAACTTCATAAGGTGTCTAGGCCCATGGGATCTAATGCTAACCAACTGGTAGTTTCTTGGTGTCGGGGACCAAATAAGGTAATACAAAAGATTGAAAACACACTGAACAATACCAACGCTACAACACAAAAGCGAACCAACATTTTCGCCCTTATCGCGTTTCGGCCATCTTGGATTGTGACGTAAGAAATTGCACATTGGAACGAGGGTTGGGGTGTTCAAATTAACGCGCGAAAAGACCGCATATTTGTCAATGTTTAAACAATGGCTTCATCTTCAGGTGTTTGGCATAACAGTTTTAAATTCAAGCCCCGAAATATGATCAATTGTTTATAGAAACATTTACTAAAGACAATTTGCCAATTAAGGCAACACTCACCCATGGATACAAGTTCTCTCAAGAAGAATTTATACATGAAGTCGAAGAAGAAATTGTGCCCATGTATTTTGCCTCACCTAATAAATCGTTCCCAGATGGTCCTAAGACAGTTCTGTTTCAGAATTTTGTAGAATGAAACCCGGGCTCAGACTCTTTTGCTCTAAGCTGAATTGTGACAATTTTTCATGCTACAATAATCTTTGTTTACCATTTTGCAAAACTATTTCGGTGCCTTTGGGTTATTGGTCGCTACTTGCATGGCCTTGTTTTGGTTTCAAGATGACCGCGTGTACTGAGAAGAGTTCCAGAAGCTCTTGCACATTTATCGCATTCATGGCTTCTTCCTTAAGGGTGGATTTCCAGTGCCGCGTAATTTTTACGTGCGTACGTGGGCAAAATTACCGTTAGGAAATAAAATAGGGGCAATGTATGAAAGGTCGCTCGCAAGCGTCAAAGTTGAATCTCGCTAAACTTCTCGTTTAAGCTCAGCACATTTCATCTTGCCTTTATTTTATTTACGTGATTAAAATTTACGTGCGTTAACGTGCGTAGCCAAAACCGCGTCAGTGGAAATCAACCTTAAAGCTGATTGGTTTGTCTTAGTCTTTGTTTGTATTATCACGTGACAAAGCCGTGCCACTCACACACAAAAAACAAAACAAAACAAAAAATCCTGGGGAATTAAACCGCGCTGATTATATTCTTGAGTTATATTACTGGTTGACAGCAGACTTCACTGCAGCCATGTTGGTGGGCAAGAGTAAAAGCTTTTCCTCTCTGCTGGGAACAAAACTCTTTTTTCCTACAAATTCTGGGAATTTTTTTCCCTTCACAATTTTCACATTGCCCATGATCAAGAGAGGATGCCAAGATACAGCTTATTTGTGCCCACAAAAATTTGTATGAGTATCAAGTGTGTTCAGTTTCTCTTAGGACGACTGCAATACCCAGGAAAAGCTGAAAACAGTGGTTAAGAAAAATTTGGGTAGGGGGAGGGAGGGGAGTAAACTAGGTGCATTGTGACTCTTTATTATGGTCAAAGTAAAAGCGACGATCGATCGCCTTGTTACGTGGTTGAAAACTAGCAATAATTCTGCTCGTACTTCTCGAATGTTGATTAATATTCGCAAGTGAGTGGTCCAACCGAGTTCATTATGTGTCCATAATTCAAATAATGCATTTGGCATTAAGTATCGTAACATTGCGCATGATCTGTCCATATAGTGGAAGGACGAACGCGTGAGACGCGAGACACGAAGGCGTCAGCAGGAGAAAGAAATAGATATATGCCTGCGAACCTTATATGACTGAACAAAAAAATCTTCCATAACTGTCAAAGCTTGTGAGGTTTATTTAGAAGCAGTTATAGCCAGGACTTCTCCGCTCCTTTAAATTTCACTACAAGACCGGCTCTATTAAAAACTGACAAATTCCGATAAGGTACCTGACGTAATGATGATTTACATAGCACAAATTTACGTATAGGCTAACATTTGCTTTGTCCCAACACCAGTCTGTGTCAAAACCAAATTTAACGCCTTTAACAGCTCTGTTAACAGTTAACTGAGTTTTTTTTTCAGTGTACTGAAACATGTTTCTTTAAATTAGCGCACCATCACCCAGACTGGCTTGTTGAGATAACAGTAGCCCCCGATACACTTTGTGCCTGTTGCCTTGCTGTTATCAGAGTAGATATAGTTGTTTCCATTTCCATCCACATGATTCCACAGGTCCAGCCACTTGTCTGAGCCTCCGTGTCCTTCCGAGATGCCATTGTTTGAGCTGACGTGCAATCCTATGATGGTAAGATACCCTCCTTTCGGATTTCTTTTGGGATCTCTTAGGCTATACTTATAAAATCCGTAAACGTCGTTTTTTCTTTCCAGACTTTTCCCCATCAAGAACTTGTCGAATTCTGCCTTGTTGACGTTTGGGGCACCGGCCTTCCTGTTATAAATAACCCGGATAGTATTAACGTCAGCAAAGCGGAACATGATCTCGTCCCAGTGCCCCATGCTTGGATGGATATGACTCGCGGCGTCTGTGTTCTTAGTTTTGGCGGCCACTGGTGAGAAAGCAGACTTGATGAAGAGGAAGCTTGAGGAGACCTTTGTGGCAACTAGGGTCCAACCTCCTCGCTCAGTTTGCATGTCGCAGAAAGCTTGGAACGAGTCAGTTGTTGAGCCGCCGTTCGGATCAATCCAGTAAATCCCGTTACCCTGGCTCTGACCTGATCATAAATCAAAAAAAGGAAGACAATCTATATATCTGAGAGTGTGAAAATATCGTGATTTAATTTCATCTAGGTGCGTCCTCGACTATAAAAAGTTATCGTGATAAATAGTCGTAAATAGAAGCGTAAACTATAAACTTTTCTTTAATTAACCGTAATTTGTTTTCGCCGTTCGTTTATGGAAATATTTTTAATTTTCAATTTTCAACGTGCACGTGAACTCTTATTCTGACCTTAAACTCACCCGAATTTAAAATATCCAAACAATGACGGCCTGGATTATTTGACGTGAGACCTTTCCCAGCAGTCACCAGTGGCAGCCAGGCACTTCCATCGCATAGTTGCAAGGTTTTCTGGGTAGTGTTATAACGAACAGTGCCAGCGATGCTCCTGGTGCAATTTTCAGCGGTGTCGCCAAACCTAATCTTCCCACTGGCGTTTTTTCCTGGAGAACCGCTTTCCCCTTTTTGTCCCTGAAAATCAACAAAAAGAGGAAACAATCCAGGAATGTGGACCCTTGCTGAGCCTATTTTTCGTGATTGCATCTGCCTTGTTTGTTCACTACTGCAATATTGAAAAAATAAGGCGAGCGAAGCAGAGTCAGTACGTAGGAACTAACCTTCATCCCGTCGTTTCCTTTAATTCCTTGCTCTCCCTTCTCACCCTCAAAATGAAGGGAGTAAAGTCACAATAACCCAAATTTAATTATGAAAAAAAAAAATTCAAATTTTCAAATATGACTCGAAGTTAAGTTTTAGCTTCCAGTGGAACAGAAAGGAACAAGAACTGTTTGCCAGAGCACTTCGTTGTTCAATAGGACTAAAGAATCGCTTTCTTTTCTGGTTACACAAATTCGGTTCACATTTTATCTACACTTTTACATGATTTACAAGGTGCCCATACAAGCAGATAAGAAGGGAAGAGGCAACGAAGACGAAGAACTGACGCAGAACATAAACAATAAATGGCTGGTAGTTTGCTCAAAGTCTGAGAGAAGTGTAAGCCAGAGTAGCTCTCAGTGCCAAACAATAATAAAAGAATATTGCAAATCAGTTTCGAACTAGCAGTAAAATGATTACGATTAGAAACTCTGCGTGGCAGAGTAAGTACGTAGGAACCAACCTTCATCCCGTTGTTTCCTTTTATTCCTTGCTCTCCCTTCCCACCCTCAAAATGAAGGAAATAAAGTCAAAATAACCCAAATTTTAATGAGATTTTTTGTTTCATATATGAAACAAAAGTATTTAAATATTCAAATATGACTCGAAGTTAATAAGTTTTAGCTTCCAGTGGAACAGAAAGGAATGAGAACTGTTTGCCAGAGCGCATCGTTGTTCAATAAGACTAAAGAACCGCTTTTCCTTTCTGGTTACATAAATTCGGTATTTACACTTTCATATGATTTACAACGTACCTATGCAAGCAGATAAGAAGAGAAGAGGCAAAACGAAGACGAAGAACTGACGCAGAACATGAACAATAAATAGCTAGTTTGCGCACAGCTTCTAATTGTTGCCGCGTTTTCAGAGAAATGTAAGAGAGAGTAGCTCTCAGTGTTAATTAAACATGAACTAGCGCATTAATAGTGATTATAGCAGTAAAATGATCATGATTATAAACGGAAGAAGCTTTGTGATTACACCATGAACAGACCAACCTTCATTCCGTACCCAAAGATGCCGTCTCGTCCATCGCGGCCATCCTTTCCTTAAATGGAACAATGTGTGTAATAGCAACTGATGCCTCTTCATTATATATGATAAGAATCTATGAAACTTTGAGGCATTATTTATTAACAATTTTTTTTATCACTTTGACTGTCACTTAAACTGCGGCCTAATATATAACTTACCTGTAAGGAGAAGAGTTTCCTCTTAAATCAACTTAAAAGTCCACGTTAGACCGGTTAGACTGCAACTGAAATCAGTATTGAAAACACGTGAAAACGTCTTGTAAAGGTAGGCGACATTCAGCTTCTTTTCGGTTCCTCGATTATTGTCACTTTTGTATTTACTTGATAATTTCAATACTTCTGAATGACCTACCTAAGTTCTCTTATTTATCATCGACTTTTGGGCAATTGGCGTGTCAGAACATTGTTTTAGGATAAGTTTTGAACTTTTAGTCGTTGCTTTTGAAAAGGATTTTAATTCCAAGACATTCTCTGCGTATTGATTAAAATTGAATCTTGACGACCTTACTCTCGAGATTAGAATTATGGTCTTATATTCTAATTCGGTACCGTTCTTACCATCTCTTCCGTCTCGTCCTACAATAAAAAAAAGATATGGTTTTTAGTTTTAGCCAACAAAATAATTCGAACTGGGACGCAAGTCTCAAAAACGATGGGATTTTAAACAATTGGGGATTCTCTCATCGCGATCAGCTCACCGTTGCAGCATTTGCAGCAGCCTCCCCAGTTTCTTCCGCAGTGGTTTTGTTTTTTTCTACTTGTAGAAACCTGAAGATGGAAAGTGTGGGACTTAATAGCCAAGGTTGATTTTAAAATTATCGGTTATACGTCACCGTCTGATACTATGACTGAGAACTTCATCTTGTTGCTTTCTTTCCTAATTAAAGATTTTTATACAGCGGAGACAAGGCTAAAATTATACAACTTACATTGTTTGGGGATTTTCTCTGGCTTGCGAAGGAACACAAGATAAGAAACAGAAAAAACGGAGCAAACAATCCTGACATGTTAGCTTTCCGTCTTTTTGCTTTTAGAAAGAACTGCAAAGTTTCACACTGATGTCGGAGATGTTTCGTCCTTTTCTAAACAAGAAAAAAATGCGAGACTAAATTATATGCAAATGAAGTTTTTACTCACAATATGATAATTTCCGATGACATGGATCAAGTTGTCATATACTGCCGCGGTCACTTTATTGAACAGGACTAGATATCGACCATGAGGAAGGGTAAGGCTCGTTTCAGACGCTGCCCGAAACTTGTTTCATGAGGCGAATTTAATTCGAATAAGTCCAACATAAACTGGCAGAAATTGGGCCACCCTTAATTGAGTGGCTGATTAGTTCTACTGAAATTGAAACAAAAGAAGGATTGTTAAGTCATGCATAAGCTTTTAACGTTTCACCTACTTAATTGAATGTACTAGGCTTGGCATAAGAAGTTCGGGATCTGAATTTGGCCTATTTACGGACCGCAGAGGGATTGGATCGGGGCGGGGGGAAGGGGTTGGGGCAGTTAGGGCAGTGACCCCATAGTTTTGAGTTGTCGAAAAAAATTACATATTTTTTCCGGGTTATTTCAGCTCACCAGATTCCTTTCTTACAAAAAAAAAAAAAAAAAAATGTCAAACCTATATTAGCGGTCACCCTTGGCGAATGGCCAACTGACTGCTTAATACAGGTTGACCGTTTGTTACAGGTTCTTTGGCTGCCCAACCTTTTAAGTTAATCAAGAAAATGAAGATGGTGACAAAGCGAAATATCATGATGCATTACATGACAAATTGGCCCCAAAGTGTTTCTACCTCTAGTTGTGCCAAAAGAAGTAAAAGACCAATCAACGCCATATATGCAGCGTATCTATTACACTAGTACAGTACAATAAAAAATATTAAAACATCCTGTGACCAACGAAAAGGTAAACCAGGCCGCTAAATACATGTCAGTTCTACAGTAATTAAGAGAAGTGATTTACGGGATTGGTATCGGTTTTTTTCCATATTTTTCTTTCTCTTTCTCTTCCTTTTTTTTTTTTTCTAAATTTATTTCTCTCAGATTTCTTCACTTTTTATCTTGTACACATTTATTACCCTCTACATTTTTCGTGTGTCACAACCGCAGAAAATGCAATTCTATTTTTTGAACTTCTCAGTTCGTTTGCTTTTTGCTACGCTGAGAATTAGTGAGGATTTTCCCCTAAAAAACCCACAGCTTGCCCCAGATTGTTTGGGCATGAGCTTTACGAAACTCTCAACTGAGATCAGTTGTCTTGAGTTGAAAATCATTTACCGAAAGGACAGTTAGATTTTCGACTGTAAAATAATTTCGTTTAAACGTTTTTTTAAAATCTAGAATTCACTTGCCCTTTTTTAGGCACGGAGATAAAGTTTTGTGCTGGTTGTTTACTGTCAACACTGAGCACTTCGCGGCATGGTTATTTCCGTAAATATTTTTCACATATATTCCTTATTTCATCTTCATCCTTTCACGATTTTATAACGAACCAACTAGAATTAACCAGCTACCAGTAGGCTTGTTACCTAGAGGACTGCACTTGTCCGGTATCGCAAAGGTCATGGCTTCGAATCCTTTTAAGCCCCAATTTTTTTAAGCTTTCTTTTCCGCAACTGCAAAAGTTTCTGCATTTATAATTGCGATGGTCTTCCTTACATTCAATGAAATTAATTGTTACTGAGTATAATAACTTCAAAGAACAAACAACTCAACCCCGTGGTGTTAACATTTCTTTTCACACCCTTCTTGTACCCGCCACTGGAAAAAGTGATACTAGATGCTAATCGAACTGAGTAAAAAAAATGTACCTTTTTTGCTCATCACGGCTAAATTATTATAGCTTTCCGTCCAATGTAAAACTGGCATTGAGCTCACGTGGCAGGAAAGTTGGCATTCTTCCCATTTCGTATTTTTTCTGTGGTCGATCAACGGGGGAAAAATCCCTACTCTCTTTAAAGGATAGAGCAAAAAATTAGTGGCGCCACCGACCAGTGACGTGGTCACCTGAACTGGAAGGCGATATTTATAACCCAAAAAACTCCAGTGCCTTGAACTCCGACCACACCCGAAATTCCAGACAAAATGAGCTTAAATGGCTGCCTCGATAAAAAGAACTCAGGTGTTCGAAAATAACTCAACACTTAATTTCTTCTTTTTACACTACTGCAGTGAAACTTCACACAATTACTGCTAATACTGACAACAAAAATCTTAACTTGTTACAGCAATTTAGTCTACAAGAGGCCACTCTTGAAGATGAAAACAATGCTGTCAAAATGCAAAATGAGATATATATCAACGGTAGAGAAACCGGTCAACATCAAGAACTTCAGTCCGCCAGGTAAATGCTATGTATGGGTGATTTAGAGCTGAATCTTTTCAGCCGCAGTATTTCCCTTTTCTACTTTTACTATATTAGAAAGGCTTATAAAAAGAGCTAGCCGAAAAATGTTGCACTAAAAAAAAGCTTATTCTTTTCACGAACCTTCTATTTCTCTTTAGAGGTTGTCGAGCGCTCCTATGAAAATAAGGCCTCGGCCAAACGTCGAACTTTTCATGAGACGAGCCAAACTTAGCGAGTTAAGTTCATGAAACTGAGTTAGACGTCTGGCTCAGTTAAGTTTAACCTGAGATCAGGCCCAATTCTAGCAGTTCTCATACATTCTCTCTTACGTAGCCCCAATAAAATGCCCTCGGGAATGTTATTTACAAAGAGAAACGAAAATAGAGCCTGATCTTAAGTTCGTCTGGATGACAGGGTTTGGATCGTTCAACACGTTCTATCCGTCTGCTTCAGACGGATAGGACGTTTGAAGATCGTCTGTGGGACAAACATCGATCTTCACATGCGACGAACTAAACCAACAAGTTCAAAATTTGTATGATAATTAATGTATATTTAGCCCCGTTGGGCTAAAATTGCTGTTTGGTCGATTGGTTCGACGCGTCTTAATTTCGACGTCTGATACAACAGACGATCATAACTTAATTTAGGCCGACCCAAATTAGGTTTTGGGTAAGGTCTGATTAGAGTTTGGTTCGATTCGTCTCATTAAAAGTTCGACGTTTGGCCTAGGCCTAAAAACCGTGGGGTATTTATTGACCGCAACGCATGAAAGTGGGGGATCGTTCTCGCGTGCTCGCCAAATCACTTACTCGGTTTCAATTACTGGAAAACAAAAACAAAGGTCTATCGACATGCTAAAATAGCTCATCTCGCATACTACTAGATTTCTCGCGCGGAAACATTTTACCAAGTCAGAACTGCTAAGACCTGATACAAAGCCTGAATTCTAAGTTATCAAAGCCAGCAGGATCTTATTAATTTATTACAGACCCTGGTTGGTGGACTGGACGGAGTTTGATGAGCGCGTCCGTGGTGCAAACTGCCCAGGGGCACCCAACGGCAATTTTCGGAAAATATCTGTTCGGAAGACGATTTGAGATCTAGAATTTTCGGAACATTTTTTGTAAAATTTCTTGCTTGCCTGCCTCTCCTAGGATTTTCGAACATCTACAAATTGGTATAATTACCCATTTTTTAACGGATTTTTGCCCTAAAAAAGGCCACCTAGAATTTTCGGGATCCTTTTCCTGGCTGAAATTTTCGAAAACGTAAACTTTCATCCCTATAATTTTCGGATCACTAGACTTTCAGCTAGGAAATCCGAACAGATGAAAAGTTTTTAGGGGATAAAAATATGCCTATATCTACCGTTTAAATACTAAAATACGTTCAACAATGCAATGTTAACTGGTTTTGAACTATATCCTCGTTGGGTGCCCCTGACCGCCAGTCAAGCAACCCGCAGACTAACCGACCGGCGTTAACATGGGTGTAATGCATAAGGTCTTCTTCACCAGTAGTCAGGGAAGGTTCCACAAAGCTACGCCAACATCTTGCTTAAAGATGCAACTGTACGTCCACTAAGTCTAAGTCTAACTCTAAGTCCACTCTTTGGAGCGGTTGAATTGCCACAAGAAAAGAACCCCCCTTTGATACCACTTTAAAACCATGCTTCTTATAAAGCTGTACTGCACTAGTCTGTATGCTTGTTGTAAACAGAGCTATCTTTTGAAGATTCTTTCTCTTCGCATGCCTGATCAATTCATTCAGCATCTTTTTACTGATTCCCATTCCTCTGCACCGTGGAACGACAAACATGTTTTTAAGTTCAGCAACGCCTGGGCCAATTTGATCAAGCCTTACCATTCCAACAGTTCTACAGTTCCACTCAGCTACCCACATGCGACGGCTATTGCTCTCTGTAAAGTCGGTCTTCAGCATTGAAAATTCCCAGTCTTTAACGGTGGATCGCCATTTGAAATAAGGATAAAGCACAACAACAACAAATACCACAGCGAAAACTACAAAAATCCACAATGACCATAACAGTGCTGCTGCTGAAACCAAGACAGTTGCTATGGCAACATAACATGACAACGTTGACAGAAAAGCGAATGTTATTTGGTTGAGAAGTTCTTTGCTAAAAAGTTTGATCATCTGTTGACATTCCAACTGATCAGAAGTCTGGAACAAACGGATAATTACAGACGCGTTCGAAGGTTGCCGATCATCTGAGCGTGTCATGATCCAAGCAATCCAAGCAATCTGACGAGACAAAAATACTTTAAACCATGAACTTCACTCAACGCTTTAATCACTATTAAACCAGTCCCTAGGTTACGCAGCCTCCCCGAAAACGTTCTTTTGGGGTTCGTTCGTCACGCATTCATTTCTCCCCCACGGTTCTTGGCGGAGAAATGGAATGCGTGACGACCGTGGGGGAGAAATGAATGCGTGACGCACGAACCCCAAAGGACGTCTGCGGGGAGGCTATATGTTACGGAATGCTGTCTACAACATTCACTTTTTAGTAGGGCTTAGATGCGACATCAGATCGTCCCATGCAAGGTATATGAAGTAAGTCCGGGAAATTTTCGCTTGAGGAATACTGTGTGAAATCCATAATTTAGCACAAGGAATCCGAAAACCCCTGACGATTGGGATTCGGAATGCAAGTTCTTCTGACAACGAATAAACCGATCGCTGTGCTAGGGAATTCTGATTACCACATTAAAGGCTATCGGCAACTTTGATGTCAACTTTAGATCATGCAACATCGGAGACCTAAACTGTTGAGAAGTTTTCCAGAAAGCAGCTTTATACTGACCAACTCGAGGAGCTATATTGGATGTCTGACTCATATTCCGGCAAGAACTTTGATGATGAGGCCAAATTTTTTGAAGCATCCAATGCAGTGTTCTTACCAAGATGACTAGGATTTGTACTTGGGCATCCCCTGCTCGTCCTTATCCTCAAAATTATAGCTAACGTGGAGAAAAGCGATGGGACAAGTCACAAAGATACTTCCGTGACGGAACTACGTACTAGGAGCCCACACTCCAAATGAAGTGGTCAGTGGTAAGTATTCCATGTATGACCCTCTTAAAGTTACCCCGCGGCGCTTATCGGTATGATTGTCAATCAAAACACTTCAAACCTGAACTGGAACTACGTATCTCGTAAAAAGGGCCCTGCGCATCGTTTTCCCGAATTGTCACTATGACGACGCCCTAATTCAATTTGGCATCACCGCCCTTTCCCAGAGAAGGGAGGAAGCTTGCATAAATTTTATTAAGCGTGACTGCCTGTCGTCTCCGGTAATCAAGCCATTAATTCCTTGTGTGTCAATTGACAGGCCATACTGCCTCCGTTCAAGGCGAACGTGTTCCGGTGCGCCCAAGACAAAGCGGTTCGCAGATTTCTGCACCATTAAGTTTCAAGATCAGTTGTAATCCTGTGCTCTGTTATTTTTTCTCTGTTATGTAGTGCTTTTAATCATATTTACATAATTATCTATTTGATTGTTTTTGTATTGTATTGTCTTCTGTTATTGTCACTGACCTTCCTTGTAATTCAGCCTTTAGGCTGCGAGAGGGATATCAATAAACTATTACTATTACTATAACCATCGCGGAACACGGTGTGCATGTGGCACTCAAGTTGAGTCCTGCAGGCTGCAGGGCGCCGTGAGGAACTCCAGGCGTAGTTAATCAATAGAAATCGATTTGGAAAAGCAATCGATATAATCGATATCAATCGGATCAATCAGCTGATTGTTATCGATTGATATCGGAAATCGATAGAAGTCTAAGTCACAGAAATAATAATTTATCGATTATTATCGATTACCAAAAATCGATAACAATCACTAGTAATCGATAGTAAGCGATAACAAGCAATGATCTCGAGGATTATTAGGTTCAGATGTTCTGAACTTGACGATACCATTTGGCAAACAACACCCACCAGACCGGCTTAATTGCGTCCAATCTCACTTACTCCGGATGTCTCTAAAGAGTCAGAGGGCTTCATTGTGGACGATTACGTCAAGCCAGCAGTCTTAAAGGAGCTCGATCACAGTCAGCATGGAGTGATACCCAACTCCTCCACCATTATGACACTGGTTAGTATGCCTCATCATAGGTCCCTTGGGACAGACGGGAACGGATCAACTATTTGACTATCATAAGGCGTTTGACTTTATAGACCACAGTAACTGTCATCACTAAATTATCTCAATTAGATACCCCGCGTGGTGTTGTCAAGTGGGTTTCAGACTTATTATCTGATCGATGTTAGAGAATCAAATTAGCAGAGGGTTGTTTTTCTGAGTGGGGTTCTGTCTCATCCGGGGTACCACAGGGAACTAAGTTAGGCCTATGGCTTTTGTTTTAATGATAAACGACCTAGATATTAGTTCACCACACCTTTGGAAATTTGTAGACGATACCACTGAGTCAGAGTTCGTTCCAAAGGGTGGTGCCAGTAATACCCAGTGTATAGCTGACCGGGTCGTCCAGTGGTCGCATGATAACAGAGTCCACCTTAACGCTGATAAATGTAAAGAGTTGAGAATCTCCTTTGCCAAGAAACCAACCGATTTTGATCCAGTGATCGTCGGTGGAAAGAGCTGGAGGTGGTGGACAGTGCTAAGTTGCTAGGTGTAACAATGAGTAGCTCCCTCACATGGAACACTCACATAGACGAGGTAATTAAAAAGGCTAGTGAGCGGCTGTACTTTACGGTGCAGTTGAAACGGGCTAGGGTACCGCCCCTAATGACCTAGTGCTGTTCTTTACTGCATGTGTTATGTCAATAATTGGTTACGCTATTCCGGCCTTCTACCATGCCCTCACCCAATACTTAAAAAAGGAGCTAGTGCGCTTACAGAAACAGGCCGTATCGATTATAGTGCCAGGCACCAGCTACAACACTTGAGGTTTTTACCTCTGGGGGAACACGATGATGACCAGCTTTGCAAAACCTTTCTTAGCAGCATCCTTTCGGACCCAAACCATAAGATTATAAACCTGTTGCCTCCAACTTGCTGCTGCAATTGGTGCAATTTAAGAAAACAGCTACCCAGTTTGAAAATCAACGGACGAGGAACTCCTTCATATACGCCATGGCTGCGATGGTGTGATCATAGGAAAATCAGCTCTGTGAATTTTTGAATTTTCGTAATTTTAATAGCTTTTTGAAAGTAACGCTATCACACTGAGAGGCTGCGAAGTAATTTAATACGCCATCAATCTAATCTAATCTATTCTAATCTAATCTAATCTAATCTAATCTTAATCAAGCTTAAAATGTTTTATTTTTGAGTTCAGCAAGTACTCCAGTTGTAGTCTTTATCGCGTCCCATTTTTTGTTTTTTTTTTGGCTTTAATAGATCTTTTCATGCCCTTTCAATCCTGCGTCATCTACTGCATCTTGCATTTCTTTCCTTGCAATCTCGCTCACGTGGGAATGAGGGTTGTCCAATACTGTCGACCAGAATCCAGTCGTATCCTCTTGCTTTCCATCGGAAAACCGGAAGTCTCGTGGTGTAAAGTGCTACCAAGTGTTTGGATACATTGGACACGAATAGATTCCTATGGAAAAGTTCATTTTGTATTCGTGAGAGACTTCCGCTCATGTTGGATGAGGGGGTGGAAAGTCATTCCGATGGAGTCCATCGGATCCATTGGACACGAACAGATTCCGATGGAAAAGTTCATTTTCTATTCGTGAGAGACTTAGAAAAATTCCGCTCATGTTGGATGAAAGGGGGGGAAAGTCATTCCGATGGAGTCCATCGGATCCATTGGACACGAATAGATTCCGATGGAAAAGTTCATTTTCTATTCGTGAGAGACTTAGAAAAATTCCGCTCATGTTGGATGAAGGGGGTGGAAAGTCATTCCGATGGAGTCCATCGGATCCATTTGACACGAATAGATTCCGATGGAAAAGTTCATTTTCTATTCGTGAGAGACTTAGAAAAATTCCGCTCATGTTGGATGAAGGGGGTGGAAAGTCGTTCCGATGGAGTCCATCGGATCCATTGGACACGAATAGATTCCGATGGAAAAGTTCATTTTCTATTCGTGAGAGACTTAGAAAAATTCCGCTCATGTTGGATGAAGGGGGTGGAAAGTCGTTCCGATGGAGTCCATCGGATCCATTGGACACGAATAGATTCCGATGGAAAAGTTCATTTTCTATTCGTGAGAGACTTAGAAAAATTCCGCTCATGTTGGATGAAAGGGGTGGAAAGTCGTTCCGATGGAGTCCATCGGATCCATTGGACACGAATAGATTCCGATGGAAAAGTTCATTTTCTATTCGTGACAGACTTAGAAAAATTCCGCTCATGTTGGATGAGGGGGTGGAAAGTCGTTCCGATGGAGTCCATCGGATCCATTGGACACGAATAGATTCCGATGGAAAAGTTCATTTTCTATTCGTGAGAGACTTAGAAAAATTCCGCTCATGTTGGATCAAGGGGTGGAAAGTCGTTCTGATGGAGTCCATCGGATCCATTGGACACGAATAGATTCCGATGGAAAAGTTCATTTTCTATTCGTGAGAGACTTAGAAAAATTCCGCTCATGTTGGATGAGGGGGTAGAAAGTCGTTCCGATGGAGTCCATCGGATCCATTGGACACGAATAGATTCCGATGGAAAAGTTCATTTTTCTATTCGTTAGAGACTTAGAATGATTTCACTCATGTTAGATGGATTCCACTCATGCCATGAGGGGTGGAAAATCGTTCGATCGAGTCCATCGGATCCATTGAAACGAACAGATTCCGATGGAAAAGTTCATTTTCTATTCGTTAGAGACTTAGAATGATTTCACTCATGTTAGATGGATTCCACTCATGCCATGAGGGGTGGAAAGTCGTTCCGATCGAGTCCATCGGATCCATTGAAACGAATAGATTCCGATGGAAAAGTACTTTTTCTATTCGTGAGAGACTTAGAAAATTCCACTCCTGTTGTATAAGGGGTGAAAAGGCGTTCCAATGGAAGCCATTGTATCTATTAGATTTGAATAGATTCGAATGCCTGGAGAAGAACATTTTCTATTTGTAACGTCAGGTCAAAAATTGTCATCATGTTGAACGAGGTGGAAAAGTGTGAAACGGAGTCTACTGCATCAGTCTTTTGCAGTGGAGAGGTGTATAAGAGGTCGGGAAAATGGGTATGTAATCTTAATTGTTTGGTTCGCGAGAAAAGGCTAGTGAAGTCCGATCATCCATCAGAAACTGCATCGCATCATGAGGTAATTTCTTTTTAAAAGCGAACTCGTATTTGAGATAATTCAGTATAACAATATCTGTGTAGCGAATGGCGGTAGCGATATGCGTTCTCTATTCGTCGAGCTCCCGAATTTCGATATGTTAGTTCGTTGTTATACCCCAGGAGAAGTGAAACAAGTCAATTAGCTTTGACAAAGTGAGCGTGCTACAGGATCAGGTATAAACGCGAACTGTTGGGAACGCGAAGGATGCGTTCGAGGGGGACTAGAAACAAGAGTAGCCTGATCGACAAAATGGCCAAGATGGCGCATCTTTCGATCATTGACTTTCTAAAAGAATTTACGAGTAAAGAATTCGAACGGCTAGGAAAAGGCATATGGAATTGTCTTAAATTCCACTGTTCCTTGAAAATGTGGAATCTTTCGATATTAAATCACAGCATAAGAAAGCAAAAACGTAACCTGAAGTGCGAATTTGGAATTCCTCCGAGGGAAGAATCGACGGAGTTATCTATTTTCAGACTCGTAAATGGAATCTCTCAGTAGGATTTTGGCATCCCTCCGAAGGAGACGTTTCAGAAGATGTTTGGTATCCTTAGAAGGAGCGAGGTGTGTTGCAAATGGAATCCCTCAGAAGGACTTTGGCATCCCTCAGAAAGAGATGTCTTTTGCCTGAGATTTTGATCCAAAAGTAAGTAGCCAGGAAAATACCACTATTCATTATCTGCATGTACTTACAGTTACTATACGCACCACTGCATGCAA